TACAGTACAGTAACCATAGGAAAATAAAAAAGAAAGCCACCCTGTAATTCTTTTCTTTCTGTATTTCTGTTCTTTCACTCCAGAAGGACTGCCTCAAGTCTAGGGAGGATTTTATGGTTCATGAGATATACTTTTTTTTTTTTGATAAAAATGCTGTGACTTGCAAAAAAGAGCCCCAGGTGACTAGTAAGAGGAGAATATGGGGAGAAGATGACCATTCACAACTCAACCTATAGAAACTTAGAAAATAGTCACAAAATATAAAAAGTCATTAATTTCAGGAAACATGTTGTTTTCCCGCTTTGTAAAAGTGAGCACTGAAAAACTTTTTTTTTTTTTTTTTACCAAAGTTAAGGCTGTCCAGATCTTAGATGTAGAAAGTCTGTGGTCCCTAAAATTACATACTATATTTTCACATTGAAAGCAGGTTTTTTGCGCTACAGTTCTGACCTTCTTATGTTAGACTGGAGTGGAGGGGGGAAGCAGAGGTTGATTTAAGTCATATAAAATTTAAGGGGGTGGGGCAAGGCTGGCCTAAGGATTCCCCAGTGAAATTGCCCTTTGAAACTTTCAGGATATAATCTTTATTCAGCCTTTTCTACATTCAAATAATAAGTATTTAGGTTTTCGTAAGAATGGAAATTTCATTATGGAGTTTGCTGAAATTATGAAGATACAGACACATTACATTGTGCTGCTCAAAAAAGACTGACTTTTCTTTTTCCCTTGAGGAGCTTCTAAAAGATTGCATATTTACAAAGTTTCTGAAACTTGTGTCTTAACTATGCTGAGAATTTGTGGTTCCAATAACAAACATGCATGTTGCAAAAGTATAACATAAAACTGCTCGCCGTGGAATCTGTTGTCCACGAAGTAACATTGTGAGAGATGAGAATATTCCCACAAGGAATGGGGGCCTTTGGTGAGTTAAATTCCACGGGGTGGAGTAGGAAGGCGGGGAGGTCCAGTGACAAACAGAGACAGCTGAGTTTCTGGATTTAAGTAAGCACAACAACAAAAAAGTTCTCTGTGCATGTTTTGTCTATGTTCACCTGTTTTAAATTGACAGGGTCAATGCTTTTTAAAAAGGAACAATCGGTTTAGTGGTTGAAGTTTTGCTTCTATACCGTATCCCCTCCCTCCTCTTTTGCTACCTATTCGTTCATCGGAATTAAATAAATCGTCATTGTCAAGGGTGTTCCTTCTATACCGTATCCCCTCCCTCCTCTTTTGCTACCGGAATTAAATAAATCGTCATTGTCAAGGGTGGTCCCTTGCAATGAAAGTCTACAGAAGTGAAGAGAAATAAGCTGTTTCCACACTTGGTTGGCCTCGACGTTTTGCTCCAGAGATACTATCTCTCTCGGAGCGGAGGCGGGGGTGGGGTGGGGATATATATACACACACACATACCCTTTTATAAAAATTTGACCCTAACCAAAAGAAAATACTCTACTTGCATGTAGTAGAAACACATTTATCACCAGGAAGTAAGATGGAATAGGTGGGAATCTGAAGCAGATACATGTCTACTAACATTTCAGAAAGGAATCAAATCAAATGAATGCTGAAATTTGTTTGAATTTCCTGAAAGTCTTTGAATGACTGGAGGTTGCTCAAGAGACTGAAAGAATCATGTTTGAGGTTTGTTCAGAAGGGAATTTCCTAGCCCCTTGTCCTCTACTCCTAATATTAAGTGACATTACTGGACGTTGTCAAATCACTTCTAGAGCCGACTAATTTTTGGTTATATAAGGAATTAATATACTTATGGGTAAAAGAAGTACAGGTAAAAAAAAACAAAACTCCCCTTAGTTTGTCTAATTACATCAAAAAAAAAAAAAGATATACAAGTCACCAAGATTTTTCAGGATATGTAAGATTAAACTTTAGCATTTTAACCATTAAAGGATCTTTAATTCAATGCCACTGAAAATCTATTTATAAACAAATGAAATATTCCTTCTCTCCCTTTCTTCTCTTTCTAATTTAAAGGGAACTAATTATATGATTTTAAAAGAAAGTTCAACTAATCATTAGCTCAAAAAAGACCATGGTTTTGCAGCTTCATTATTGATTCTCTAATTAGTCTGGTTATATAAGTCAATACCCTGTATTTCTGAAGGGTGTGATGCCATATATAATAAAGTTTTTACACGGGGAATGCCAATGACAGCAGGAAAGCAGAATGTTCACAATCACAGCTATGTTGATATTTTCATTATGAAGGGTAGTTTCTTGTTGCTAGGTGGGATTAAAGGTCTCATCACATAAAAGTACTGGCTGAGCCTGAATCCCCCATTATGAGAGAAAAATGATGCAAAATATGCAAATAGATATGCCATATTCAAACACACCTGCATTTACTGTGGCCACAAATCATTTTGATAAAGGTAACACATCTTACTCTAAACACCATTAAAAGATAGGCTTTAATAGTAAAAGTATAGAAAGAATTCATTCATATAATTTGCTAACCCCCTATAATAAGAATTGGTGAATGAGAGTGCAGATTATCATGGGTCTTTTAAATCTAATGTGCAGTGTTGTAGTGAGAGGTGCAGATCATTTTCTTCATGAGAAACTAGTTCACTTATGGAGGGAAGGGAGGGTCATGTCAGGGAACTGTCTGTCCTAGAAGACGCTGATTCTTTTTATCACACAGCAAGCTCAAGGGTCCTAAGTTCTATCATTCCACTCACTCACTGTGCTTTTAAAAACTCATATTGAATAGTTTCAATACCCAAGTGAATAAAGAGAAGATAAGCTATGGTAAACTTTTAGAGTTTTCTTTCTTAAATAATTAGGATAACAGATTGTCCAAAACATTGTTTTCCTTTTCTATGTTAAATGGGTTTATCTGGCATGTCATTTTATTTGACATTTTAATGATGGTTAAGGAGTGGTGAGATTTATAGGCAGCAAAACCAGATGTTATTTCTAGATAATAGAGCAGTTTTATTCAATTGCAGCTACTTTAGTGAACCTGAGATTTAGAGATAATTCCCTCAACTACTCAAAATGAAGTCATGGATGGAATCATCTTAGAAAGCAGAACTTAGCTCCTTTATTTTTCCCTTCTTTAACTTTTTTTTGTTTAGATATTGGTGATAAAATGACTCACTTTGTGCTCATTAAAATGCAATTACTTGAGAAACATGAACTTTGCACAGTAAAAAAAAATTTCCTCTCCAACTGGAATACATAAAATTTCAAGCCAAGAAATTAAAAATAATAATAGATTTGGCACTGAGAAAGCTATTTAGGGCAAATTTAGTTGGTTCTGTAATGAAATTTTCTCAAGACTTATTTTTTTTTTCTCATCTGCTTTCCATAGAAGTTAGACTTAATGTAGTATATCTTATTGCATGTTTTTTGAAACTATGTTCTATGGAACATAGATAACTCTCTGAATTATCTGCAACAATGCTATGAACATTTGAGCAAATAAAGATATATCTGTTATTAAAATCAATTAAAATGTAACATCTTTATTTTATTAAGTATTATTTTATTAAGTCGCTTCCCTTTGGTTTTACTATATATGTGGCTGTTTGCTTTGGGGAAGAGCTAAGAATTTATTTCAAGAATTGTTCACTGTGTTTTAGATAAAAACTATTCTTTGATGTTCTGAAATCTCCAGAAGTTTAAGAAAGACACTCTAAGAAATTCAGGTATGTGCCACTCAATCAGTATTTGGGGAACAAACTTAAGTACTTCACATTAAGAGGACAGGTCTTTCTTAATCTTTACAATTTTTTTTTTTTTTTTTACATCTTGAAATCTATTTTGAGGGTGCATAAGCCTACATGCTGACATTATGTGAAACATTCTCTTTCTCATGGGAATAGAAAGAAAAGAGTCCAGAAATAAGGCTCTGTCATCAACTAGGCAGGTGAGATGAACAGGTTAATTCAGTTACAGCACCATCTACAATGAAGTGAGAGCATCGCAGCAACCACTGTAGGTCGGAAAGACTGTTCTGGAAATACGGTCACTGCAGAGATACTCCTCAAAATAATCCCTTCATTGAAAATAGATTAACATGGTCAGAAAACATCCATGAAAAAGAAAACGATATAAAAATTTACAATTTTTTTGGAGAGAATAGAAGCAAGGCTCATGGATTTGCCTACGTTTGGAGATCACTACTGATGCTTAAAACAACGTTTGTTTCATGTCCTTAGAAAATTAAAAAATGGTGCTTCTTATATAAAGGGTCCATCAGTTAAGCCATGAAAGAGAGACAGCTGCTGACAGGCAGGTCATGGAATCAGTCCCTACATTTCAGCTGTGACAAGCACTGGGTTCTTTTCTTTTACATCAACTTCATTTCAGTTTTAACAGAAGGAAAGCCAGAGATGCACAATACTGTAATCTGGAAGCTCATGTAAGGCAGCAAAAAGCATCACCCTAGATTGGACAGACTAAGTAAGATCCACTTTTGGCTACACTAGCAACCAGCTAGAGCCAACAGCATTTTGCCACACAAGATATAAAAGCAAAGATCCACAGCAAAGGAGGCCAAGTGAGAAGTCAGCGACGTGGCGACGTGTGAGGACAGGATAGGAACACGCTACAGAACGAAACCCTCGGGGCCACTGGGTTCAATTCCAGTCAAGTGAATTAAGGCTACTATATAACTCGCTGATGTGAAGAGTCCATTCCAATCGAGCAGTAAGGAATTGATTCACTCTTGAAGACACAAGGAAAGGTTTAGAGGAAAAGCAGGTTCTTGGAAAGAATGAGGCACACACATGCACGTTGTCTCTCAGGTGAGGAAACTGGAGAAAAATGAAAGGGGAAAAAAAATAAGAGAGATCAAAGCAATCCAACTGCAAGGCAAGGCAGGTGTTTGCTTCCAGTTCACAGTATTGCAGTTAGTGGTACAGTGAGGTCTACGTAAGTGGTGGAGAGCACAGAGGCTGCCCAGAAGAAAAGGGAAGAAAGAAGTGGTCACATGACAACACAGCATTGACAGCGCTTTTTCTTTTGGGTACCTGGGGCTGGCTCTGTGGCCAGGCTCTCTTCCTTCCCTTCTGGGGATGAGGGTTCTGTGGTGTCTGAGACCGGCCTCCCAGACACAAGCTCCGCTGCATTCCCATCAATAGTGGACACATCCGTCACCGTCTTCTCCCTCAATGACTTCTCATCATCTTCGTCAATGAGGACCAATTCAGCCTTGATGGTTTCATCATAGCCTAGCACCTTTTTAGTCTCCTCTTCATCCTCGATATTTTGATAGCCCATGAAAATCATGGTGACTGGCTGATCCAAGTTTGCCTCCGGGCCTCCAGTGCTGGGGGCTTGGACCTTCTGCCCTGGGTTCCCAGAAGAATGATCTTTCCTAGACTTATGTACCATTTCTAACTTGGCCTCTTTGCAGAGCATGTGTTCCTTAGGGTGGCCGAGGCTCCCATCTGCAGTCACAATCCTTTCTGACACGTGCCCTCCTCTTAAGCTTGATTGTCCAGCCTTCTGAATAAGCTCTTCTACATCCTTGGAGCTTAATTTGTGCACTCCGTTTTCTACTACGGTGCCTCCCGAGTGCACCTCATACACTACTTTGGTACCATCATCATAGACTTTGACTCCTCTCTGATGGACCCCCTCTGGGCCAATGGTGGATGCAGAGAGAATCTTGGTCTCTCCTGTTTGTTTGTCTTTCTCCACATTAATTTCCATGGCGTACACAGCTTGAATGAAAACAAGAGAAAGGAAGTGCATGTTACAACAAAAAAAGCCAGTGAATGGTTAATTGCCAAACAGACAAAAAAAAAAGGTTTTGTGCCCTTTCTAGTCTAACTGCCAAGCATCTTGAGTGTTAGAATAGGTGCACATCGTGGACAGAGATGGTTATATATGTGTTTTAACAGAGCAGCTTAATGCACTTGGAAGACAGATGTACAGAGTTCCATAGCTCATTGGCACTTACACTTCTAAGGAAGATCTGCTACAATAAGGCCAGAAGTGACTGTTTAGATCCAGTACGCAAATCACAGAGAGGCTGGCAACATGCAAGTTTACCTTGATTGACAGCTTACCCCTTGGCTTATAGATAATTTTAATGCTCTTGGTTACGATGTATCCTATTCCAAAATCTTAAATCTTTTTTTAACTCTTTCACCAAGTGTCCTACTGTTTTTCCTACCATTCTCTGTACTGTTAATAGAGAATATCCAAAGAATATCCAATATTTTTGCAGGTGGGACGTGGCTATCCTCCATTGTACTATAAATTTGATATTTGCAAAACTAAAAAGCTACAAAACTGGCCAGATGACATGCTCTGTGAGTACTTCTGTCATTAGCTAAGTTTCTAAAACAAGAATTAGAAAAAGAATAAGATAGAGGTCACGTCATCCCAAGACACTGGGAGTTGAAGATGAGGACCACAGTACACAGTGCCATGTCCTCGTGATCTGCCCCATACTATCTTTCTCACCTGTCACCTCCCTTCTGTTCCATCGTCACTAGTCCATCTGAGACGCTATTTCCTCTTCCGGAGATTTTTGCTTCCTATCTGGTCTTCTCACTCCAGTTTCACTTTCTCCAACTCACCCCAAATCCCGCTGCCATTCTGGGGTTCCTAAGGACCAACTCTTTTCTGTCCTATAGTCTCATGTGACACTTCATCTTTTCAAATCTGTGAGCTCAGAGGTGCTTTGTGAGGCAAACATTCTGGATGGGAATAAACTGGGCATTAGCCCCACTGAGCCAACTCTCCCCAGGCACCCTTTCCTTGGATGACTCATGGATACATCAACCTCTGCAGCTTCATAACTAAATCCATCTTCTCTCAAAACTCCCCCAGAGACTTGGTGGTAAATAATACCAATACCACCTAGTCTCTCAAGCGAGAAGCCTGAGAACCAACCCTGACTTGTCCTTTTCTTCCTGATTCCCCACAGCCAAACAGTTGTCGAGAATAACAAATTCTATTTCAGATCTATCCCCCTGCATCTCCTTACCACCTCCTATATCACCGCTGCCCTAGGACAGACCCTCCTCTGCTCTCTGCACAATAAACAGCCCTGCTTCCCTTTTTACCTATCACTTGTCTCTTCTCATGGCCAGAGGGCCAAAGGTTGCCTGAGGCTCGTTTTTGTATGACCAGAGAAGCACTAAATGGTTTTTACAATTTTAAAAGATTGTAAAAAGGAAAAAACAAAGGAAGAAAAGGAAGGAAGGAAGGAAGGAAGGAAGGAAGGAAGGAAGGAAGGAAGGAAGGAAAAGGACGGGAAAGGAAGAAAAGAGAAGGAAGGAAAGAAGGAAGGAAGGAAGGAAGGAAGGAAGGAAGGAAGGAAGGAAGGAAGGAAGGAAGGAAAAGAAAAAAAGCAAGGAATATGTGATAGAGACCATATGTGATACACAAAGTCTAAACTATTTACTATCTGGCCATTTACTGAAAAAAGTCTGCTCACCCCTGCTAGCCTATGCTCCATCCTGCCCACAGAGGTACCTTAATCACAAACCCTCTTTTGGTTCCTGCGTCTGTATAGGATAAACACCAAACTGCTTAGCTTGGCCTGTAACTCCCTTCAGAATGTGTCTGCAACCTTCCTTTCTAGATTTGTCTTGCAGCCTCTCTCATTCCCCATACACTCCAGCCATAACAAACTTCTCGCCATTCCCAAGACACTCCACATCCTTCCATGACTGCTGTCACTCTGCCTAGACTCTCTTTCACCCTGTCTCTCCACGGGCAGTCTCTTGGAATCCTATATCATATCTCTATGATCACTGCCTTTGAGCCCCTACCTCTTTCTGAATAACTACAAGTTCGCCAACTGTGTTAATAGGATCCAAACTACCTTTTCAATCACATGTTCTATCGCACCCTTTCCGTCCAGCACAACCAAATAACGCCATACCACACCTAAACATTTCCTGCTTTTGTTAAGATTCCTTTCTCTTGAAATGTCCTTCTTTTGAGTTTCTACACACCCAAATGTGACTCATCATTCGATGCCCACCCAGGTCAACTGACCCCTCTTCCCTAAGCTTTCTTTGCTTATCCCACGTCTAAGTCTTCTCTCTCTTCTTAAGATTCTCCGAACACATGTTCTAAACCTCTCTGAAGGCACTTAACACTTTCCACTCAGTAGTATAATTATTTGTGGGAATGTTTTATTAGTGCCATAGATTTTTAAGATCTTTGAAGACTAGATTTTTTGCCTGACATCCTTCTATGATGCCCCCTCCCCGCCAGCACCTACCTTAGAGCCTCTTGTACAGAAAGTACCTGACATACACACCTGTGAAACAAATGCTACTAATTGAAAAGTCTAATTGGTTGTCTTACTCTAGTCACAGATACTTTGTATAATATGACACCCATGAAAAGGTATACACAGTAATTAATGTTTGAACTGGTTAAAAAAAAAAGAACAGCAATGATATTGTTCCATCTGCTTGTGTAATAAGATACAATCTGCCGGTAATTAAGACAACTAAAAAGACTGTGAAGCAAAATCCAACACTCGATTTTCATCATCTCCATTTTGAAAGTTTCACTGTTCAGCACAAAGCTCTTGAGTTTCCTTAAGTGACAAAATAGGAAGCCAACCAATATTTGTAATAGAGGTACGTGGGCTCACACAATGACCGTGACATGAAGAGAAGTATTTGTCCCAGTAATTTCCTGATTTTCCACAAAATGTGTCATTGGAAAAATAGAACAGGCATTTAAAACTTTGAATGGACTCCAAAAGCAGGTAATATTTAAATATTACATTTACATTAAAAAGTACATCTTTGGGTTAAAATATTATATCCTATCACTATTAACACATCCATGGGACAATAAGGAAGGTAATAATGATTATCGGTTGTAGGTACAATATTTAATCGTCTCCCAAACATCTAGTAATATGTGAACAAAATGATACCTTTATCTGCAAATCTATACAAAGTATGGAATAAAATATTTCTATTTCTATATCCATAGATGATAGATAAAAATTATTAACATGGGCATCTTTAGACCTGTCCCTCTCTCACCAATAAAAATGCAGTCATTGTTAATCCAATTTTCCCTTCACCACCCCAACCCCCAACCCCACTTTGCCTTTGCCTGTTCTAGAATCAGAGACTGGACAGAAAGAAGAGATGATGAGATGGTCTTTGCTAGAAGGGTTAAGTAGATCCACACAATAAAGAGTTGTGATAGAAGGAGTTTAGTGGAGGAGAGAATAAAACTTGTGTGGGATGTGAATAGAAAGGGAACATTTCGTGGTGGTGGATGATGCTTCAAAGAGAGTGATATGTGGAGGAAAGAACAGGAAATATTAGAAGTGCTTCTGGATAGAGATATGCATTAGATTCCTTTTACTATCCTTCCAGAAAATAGGTAAAGAACAGAGTTCTTTTTTATTTTACTATTTATTTATTTTGGCCTGTGATTTTAAACTGTATTTTGTGACAAGGCTCTGGATCGGAACAACAGGTAGCATGGTTTCATTAGGGTTGCACGTTAATATTTATATTTACATGTTATACACTGTTCTTCCAATACTTCTAGAATTTGAGGGTAGAATATTTTAAAGCATTTTAAAATAAACCTAGATATGTTATGTCATAAAATACAGCATCCATCTGTAATTTTTCCCCCAGCTATAACAAGGCGTCCAAGGAAACACACATTTTTAGCAGGTTTCTTCAGGATTGGTCTCACATTCCTCGTATGCATTCACTCTCTTCTCCACTAAGAAGTACATAGGTGAACGCTCTGAGAAGCTCTGGCTTAACACAAAGGCAATATTTAGACTTCATGGATACACATATGAGAAAGTTTCTAGACATTCAGAAAAACCACACGGGAGGCATGAACGTTTATCTTAAATGTGTTGTTTATGAATAAGCATTTATATTTTGCTCCAGTTCTCAGCCAATAATATTTCAACTGTAAACGAGGGTGAATATGAACCAGTAGGAAAATAAGACTTACATTTTAAATTCAGCATTTTGGTTTTGATGCATGTGCACAATTGTAAAAAACTCTTCTGCTTTTTACTGCTGCCAAGGAGTGTATACCAAGGAGTGTATACCTCTCACTTGCATCATGCCCTCATTTCCGCCCACAAAGAATACTCTCTCATCCGCCCTTTTCTCCATTAAGCTTCCCCATGCCACAGGAACACTACAATTTGTACAGTGATGAGAGAATCCTATGCTCATCTCATTGAAAAAACAAAAACGAAAAACGAGGAGGGGTTGCCGCTTGGGAGAGAAGGTTTTCTGGGGAGCCCCTGATGAAGATTTTGAAAGAGCCCCACTGATATAAAGAGAAGTATTTGAAGAAAAACTCTCTTCAATTTCCTGGAGGAAGGATCTAGAGACAGAAAAAAGAAAGGAGACAATCGGATGGAAGTTTCATTGATAGGGCGACTGAAGTGTGAAAGTATGTTTTGTAAAATGATGTATTTAATTACTGATTTCCAAATATGACATACTGATGACAGTGAGACTGGAGTACATACAGAATTTTTGCTATTCTTTCCAAAGTGTAACCCTGTAAGACAGGGAAGGAATATGTTCATTTTGTTCATGAAGAATAAGAATCAAAGTGGTCATTTTCTGCAAAGGGATAGGAATGAATGACGGTGAGGTGCTTCGACTTTGGGCCTCTGTGTTTGGCTTACTAGGTCCTTGCTCCCCCACAGTGCTCTTATCAATAAGAGAACCACTTTGAAGAG